GATTCACAGAGTTCACCACAGCCAAGCCAAGACGTGGAAATTCCACATGCAATGACTATGAAAAACGTTTTTCACACTGAGAAAAGTTTTCACATATTATTTTTTCACACTACTCTTATACTACCTTTACACACCTTTGGAGTGGAATCTATTTTTTAAAACCTGTTTTGTCTTATTTTATTTTTTTTAAATCTATACAGCAATAGAGGTGGTGTCGTCTCTATTCATTAGCACAAGAAAAACGCTGTTGTATTGGGGTATGGATATCCGGCTAAGCCGTGCAATTCACTGAAATGAAGTCCGTATTATAACGAGCGTTCGAGCGCAGAGTCGAGAGGTTTGGAAAGGGAGTGAAAGAGATCTATTTGTGTCCCTACGAAAAAGCGCCAACCTCCAACACTCCAACAGCGAGACCAGTGTTCTCTTCCACAAGCGAAAAAGAAACTTTCTTTGGTTGCACTATTTTAACACTGGAGTTCTCCTCAAGTAGGTGTGGCTCAAGCACGCTGAAACGAAAAGAAAAAGTGCCACCAAAGCCAATCCGAAGGATTCATTCTGCCGTCTTGACAGCTGATTTTGACGTTTCAATTCTGACGTTCCTAAACTAAAATACAATGTGAATGTACGTGTTAGCGATAGCATGCATTGATCCCGTTATGTTCGGATCAATGTTTTTTAAACTGATTCTTCGTCGTATGGTATGGTATGGGTTTGTCGTCAAAAGGTACAGTGAGATTATTTGAAAAGAGGAATATAAAAACCTAACATCTATCCCCAACAGTACTGAGCCAAAGATATGGAAATCTTTTAAAAGCGTCAGCCCGATACCAATCGAGCTCTCGGAGATCCTTTTGCGACTTCCTCTCTTGGCTTACATTTTGAGCTTGTGAGCGTCTGCGGCCGGGTTTTAAGTCAACCAAGGAATTATAATATTATGCTTACTTACTACCCCTTACGCCATCTGGCGTTTAGGGCAGCAACAAAGGATCTCCAGCTCGCTCTATCTGTTTAGGGCCATCTTTGTCAGCGTCCCCAACGAATGATTCCAGGACTTCATTTCAGACTCTACTGTGCGTCTCCAGGTCACTTTGGGTCGGCGCCTTTTGCGATGTCCTTCGAGTGTCCAGAGGAGGGCAGTAATAATGATATTATGCATTTGACCAAAAAATGGACAGTCTTAACCTTCAGTCAAAATGTTGCATTGATTTGTCCTCATGTTTTTATCATGTCAGACTCGAGTTTGTCTTCAGAATTAGAAAAACGTTCTTAGACCCAGACCCAGAAAGGAATTGCATTTTTTTTTCATATGTACAACTGTAAGAATGTACTGATGATAATGCATACATAGTATTATTTTTATTATTATTTTTGGTAAGCGTTTTGCGGCGCTCTCAACTTCATAAGGTCATATGAGCGCACAGGATACATCAAACATTTTCAGTTGGTAGGGAATTTTGAATTTTTCCCTGCTGGCGGCTGAAGCCTACTCTTATCGATTTTGGACAACCAAGGGAACTTTAACGTACACAACTTGCGCACGCGACCTCCGAGGTTTTTCGCCCGTGTTCGAGACTATTCTGTTGTATGAAATGGGTCCTTTCAGATGTTCATACATCCTATCAAACATGTTATACCAGAAAAGACGTGCTCGAATTGACATTTTCCCATTTCTCTACCATTCTCCCTCTCTTTTCTCTCTCAGACCCTATCTATCTATCTATCTATCTATCTATCTATCTATCTATCTATCTATCTATCTATCTATCTATCTATCTATCTATCTATCTATCTATCTATCTATCTATCTATCTATCTATCTATCTATCTATCTATCTATCTATCTTTCTTTCTTTCTTTCTTTCTATCTCCCCCCCACCCTTCACCCCCCCGTCCCTCTCTTTCTCACCCCTTCCTCTCTCTCTACCCCTCTCTCTCTCTCTCTCTCTCTCTCTCTCTCTCTCTCTCTCTCTCTCTCTCTCTCTCTCTCTCTCTCTCTCTCTCCCTCTCCCTTTATCTCTCACTCTCTCTCTCTCTTTCTCTCATCCACTCTGTCTTTTCTTTCAGTATGATTGAAAACATAATGTTGATATGGGTGAGTACTCAAGGAACGAGACTTTTATTATGCAACAAACATGAAGCCCAAAGCCTCAGATTACAGAATTACATTTGCAACATCAACCACCCCACCCGCTGGTCGAAAAGCTGAAGTGTCCCTTACCGAGCCAAAAGAACATAGCAGGCTTTTAAAAAAGACCCCGAAAGTGAGACCTTCAGACGCCTTAAGGTCGAAGGCGAACAGAATAACAAGAGAAACAGCGACAATGATGTCGAGAATTTCATTCTTGTTCCCCAAAATACATGAATAGGCAAAGTCGTCGACGCACGGGGTAAGAGACAGTTTTCAATGTACGTAGCATCCAAGCGTTTCTCTTAATGTATGGTATGGGAACAGTCCGTAATGCAATGCCTCCAGCCGAGTACGACAATGCGGCGGTACTGCGCCAACAGGGGACCTGGACTTGGAAGTGATTATTCCCGGCACAACAGGTATGGGGTAATAGTGTACGCTTCGTTGTCTTCATTATGTGTGCCCGGTAGAGTCTAGTAGAGCTGCTGGTGTTTTCTCGAGCGTGCCATTTTGTCAAGTGGAGAAAGATAGACAGAACGTTGTAAGCAACGACCAAAAAATAAAACAAGGGCAAGGAAAATGAAAGGAGAGAAAATAAAAAGGTTATACGGTAATTGTTGTTTTGATATATGTAATGATTCATGTAGAGCACGCAGAGTTTAATGCTCTGCACAGAAAAGGATGGGTGTGGATTAGGTAGGAAAACAGACATATGAATTGATAAACAGACAAGCAAACAAGTGGACAGAATGACTCACAGTTGGGACAATAATGCAAGGACAGGATTACAAGACTGTTTTATAATTTTAACATTCTTACTAATGTAGGGTGTTTTACTCCCCCCCCCCC